ATCGTTTATACATTGAGGGCGGTGAGATTTCATAGAAATCTCAGTAGCAATGAATTACAATCGTTATGTAAATCAAGCAAGTATAATGTGACACGTTATAAAACTTCAAACATCCTCAAGTCATATAAAATCATATTTTGTATCATACCAAAAGAGGAACATCAACAATTTCACATTGACATATTTCTATGCATTTGGCCAAAGCACAAAAAAATGTCATAAAGTCAACCATTATCACCACATAAATTCTTCAATTCAAGCAATCAACATAATTACATTAAATAAGCAAGATAAACAATCAAGTTATAATTCAATGCTACCTTTTATCACTTGATTAATTTGGTCTCCTCAAGGGACAACGATCCTCCTTGATTCCTCCTCACAAAGCCTATTAAATCAAGCATAAGCATATGCCACATTAATAGCCAAACCACTTAAACATAATACTTTCTCTTTAACTTAGCCTTTCCTCCTTTTTCTTGGATTTTTAACAAAGTAATTCCTCCTTAAGAATCAATAACCTCATGACTCATTTCTACACAATTTTTCATAAGGAATTCAAATATGGAATCATATTTTTGAAAATCAAACTTCTTCCCCATGAACTCCTCTTGGCCGAATAGGGGGTTTTAAGCTTCCAAAATTTCTATTTTTGATTCCAATGATTTTACACACTTCCCTTTAGTATATCCCTACACAAAAACACATTTTAAACCTATTAGAATCATCAAATCAATGTAAAACAAACTTCTCCAACAAGAACAACCCTTGGCTGAAAAATATAAAATCCTAGGTGTATTTTCTTCCAAAAATCATTCCATACACCACTTAAACAAGCTTATTCCACTTGATATTTAAGGTTTCTATCCTTCCCTGAACCTTCCATGATTAGATCAAAATGGGACAGCATCTAGCCTTAGAATTTCAAGCCAAGACTCTAACTAAACTAGCTTGAAATTTAGGGATAAGAGGGTTTAAGCATACCTTGATGTTTTGTTGATGTAAGTTGAATGATTCCTTGTCCAAAACCTTCCCAAATTCAGTCTCTCTTGGTCAAAAAAAAAAAAAAAGGCAGCACCTCCCCTCTTTTTTGCAATTTTTTCAATGTTTTCTTGTATTTTAGGAAGGGATATTTATAGAAAAACCAAGCTGCCTTTCCCCTCTGATTTTTGGACATCCAAAATGGCTGAAATAAGGTGATTTGGCAGCCATCAAATGCCTCATAGCTTCATATCTATGCATGTGTCCAAGCTCTAGATTATTCCAATACTTATCCCTTAATTTTGCATTTTATTTAATTAAAAATAGAGTGTCGAGAAGCTGCATGAAATTGGGCTTGAATTGGGCCTAATTTGGGCCCCACAAATGGTTTAGAATGGCCTAAAAAGATGGCCCACAATCCAAATCAGAATCCCAAGCCATTCCGAAACTTTATCAGTTACTATTCACTAGTAACATTCTAAAATTTTTCTAGACCTCCAAAAATTCATTTCTCTTCATGATAATTCACCTTTTAATATGAGAATATGATCTGAGAATTTTCATAATTTTTCACCACGTCTAGGTATTTATTTTGAATTTTCTCCAATTAGGCCTCTATCAGTGTTACTGCGGGAAAATAAATTCCTGGACTTTCAATACCTAAACCAATTTTAGAAATTAAAATAAATATTTATATGATTTTTTCATATTTTTTCAGAATTATTGAGTCCTCTAACTAATTAAAATAATTATTTTCCTCTGATTTCTCACTAATTTCTTGAAAAATCTTCGTTTACGGGAAATTATGTAATAATTTATTTCCACAATAATTCCATCTTTCGGGCCTCAACCGAGTTTCCAAAACCTCTAATTTATATTTTTTCTATTTTTAGGAATTTTCTAGAATTTTTCTCAACTTCTACTGTTTTGCCCTTCCTAGACCGATAAATTTGAAAATGTCGATCCGGACCTTTTTTGGGTTTCACACCATGCTTAGTTTTCTTAGCCAATCTTATTTTCCTATTGGACCTTAACCAAAATTTTCATCCCTTCTATCAATGCTAAATTGGCAGGATGTGACATTTTAGCCTCTCCTCCTCTCTTAAACTTGGCCAAAATTCTTCATAAAATGCGGGAGGAGGGGTATTTATAATGGTCCCAAAACTTAACTACAATGAAATGTAGTTTCGAGTCTATCCTTTGTAATTACTCTTTTATCCCTAGATCTTTGCCTCCTAAAGTTGCACAAAATTACATAGATAAGGTGCTATATTCTTAACCTTCCATGTGTCTTTAACTCCATAGAAATGTGATTTGAAATCTATGACTAAAGTGGAAGGTCATTTGAAATCTATAATATTATTTTATTCTATTTTCCATCACATACCCTTCTTGAAATATAAATTCCATACCCTTGCATATGTGACGCCAAAATGGAGGAAAAAAGAGAAGAAAAAATGACCATTCTTAAACTCTAAGTCACTCCATTGAACCATACTACAAAATTTCACCGTGTTGGGAAAATTTTCAGGTCCTACCTTATCTAGTAACTCAAACATTTGTCCTAACAACCTCATCTTGTAGTCCACAATTGTCTCTCATTATTAATAACCTCATATGACTCAATAATGATAAGAATATGGAAGAAATGATATTTAAAGATTTGTCCTCCCTTTAGTAAACATCAAATTATTTTTATATCAACACAATTTTGACCAAATTCTTTTTTATGCTTCCTAGGTCCAAAAATTCAACCCTTAGTGCCATTAATTCCCTTTTATTATAGTAAAAATATCTAATTTTTATTAAGCCAAAATTCTGCTTGAAAGTATTTCTTCTAGAATTTCTCAAAAATTACCTCCTTTTGGCATAATTAGGCTTTAAATATTTTTAAAACTAACTTCTTTATATTTTCATGATGGAATCATTTTTATAAACTGAAATAATTCCTCAAATAATTAATCCTTATTTTGATCTAATTATTTGAGGCCTTCGCATATTTTAAATAATTGGATTTAGTTAAATATCACTTAATTAACCAAATTTCTAAAAATATCATAAAATCACTTTTTGAGGATTTTTTTCTCATTTCAAACCTCAAACTGGCTTTAAAACATCATTTTCCATTTTTTGGAAAAATTTTTAGGACTTTTAGGTGTAACACCTTCACTTTTCACCAAATAATTAACTAATTAGAAGCAAATAGAATCACATTTCACAGCCAAAAGTATGAAAAATTTAACTTTGAAAAGTTTTGTTCTCATATTGCTGTTCATTGCAACCTATATTTTGGCCAAACTTTAAAAAATCATAATTAATTATAAAAAAAAAATCAAGGGACTCCAAGTTCTATTGGAAACTCTTTGGATTATCTTTTGAGAAAAAATAGTTGCTGAACGACTTATCTTCAAATTCAAGCCCAATTTTATTTCTAAAAAATATTGTTCATTTGGTTATTTTTTAATTTTTCAGTATTTATGCCTAACTTTGGATAGGTATAACTTCTTGCTCAAATATCCAATTCAAACATATTACCACTCATTTTGAATAGAAAAATTCCAAAAAAAAAGGAAATAAGGTTTTAAGACCCATAAGGGGTTAAAAATGATGAAAATACCCCTGAAGTTAATTGATGAAATTTCTGAGGTTTTGACTAATTATGAATATTAGCCAAAATTAAATTATTTAAAATATGAGGAGTTCTCACATAATTAGAGAAAAAAGGGGATAAGTAGTTGAGGAATTATTACATATTTTAAAAATAATTCCGTCCCTATAAAGTGAAGAGGTTGGCTTTACTAGAATTTAAAGCCTATTTATGTACTATCTGAGAAAGTCAAAATAAACTGTTTATGGATTGACTTTTAACTTGAGAAAAATTAGAGAAATTTTTCATGATGAATAAACAATATTGGCACCTAGAGATAAAGAGAGGAGCCATGAACTGATAGAAAGAATTTGGTCAAGTTTATTCTGAAATAAATATTATTAAATGTGAAATTAACTGTGATGATAAAAGGGTGTTAGAACATGTCCCAAGGTTATTAGATAAGTCAGGATCCAAAAAAGTATCTGATATAATGTAAAATTATAAAATCGGTGGCGGAATAGTCAATGGTATAGGGGAGCACGAATTTCTTCCTATTTTCCAATTTGATGAGAGAACATGAATGGAATAATACATTTTGTTAAGATTTAAGTTTGGAAGAATAGAATTATGTAATAAAATATCATGCTTTCTTCAAATGTGTGATAAGTGGCACGTGATATGTCTCATGAGATGGCACTTCTATTGAATAAAAGGAACACCTAAGAGGGTTAGGTGGCAAGAATCAAAAAGGTAAGGGACACATGGCCAAAGAGATTAAATGAATGGCCAAGATCAAGCCACACACACAAAAGATCATGGACTAGGATTTAAGCAAATTTTTATAAATACCACTCCCTCTAATTCTATGTAAAGTTTCAACCAATACAAGAGAAAAGGGGAGGAGAGGCCAAATATATGAAGAGAGGAAGGAGAAGAGAAAGAGCAAGGAAAACCATGTAAGATACAGCTCTAAAACAAGATATGTTCATGGTTTTTGATGTAGTTTCCATTACCTTTGTTGTTGTTGAGCTTGGTTATGGGTTTTGTTAAATTTTGGGAGCTTAAAACCCTAAGGAGACATATTGCATGAAATTTATAAGTTAAGAGAAGGATGAAATTGATGTTAGAATAATGTTTAAAGGGTTGAAAGGAACAAGAATCAAGTGGTTTTATGATGAGTTTGCAAGAGAACCAACTTCTCCTTAACCTTTGAACAATTTTGGTCAGACTTAGGGTTCATGTGAGGGTTAGATTTTGATGATTTTGATGCTTCCAATGTGTTTAGAATAAAAAATTGTGTAGGGTAAAGATGAGAAAGAAAGTTTGAAAGCATTAGAATTGAAAATGAAATTTTAAACCCTAAAACTCTACGTTTGGCCAAAGTTGGTTGTAGGGGAAAGGGTGAGATTTTGATTTTTTTTTTTTGAGCTTGAAAATGAATTCTTCATGCAAAATTATGGGGCAATAGTATGTGGGATTATTTTAGAAAGGTTGAAAATCAAGCTCAAAAGTTAGAAGCTAATATGGTTCAAAGAGAAATTTTTTTTAATGTTGTTGGTTACCATAGCTCTAATGAATAAATGGCAATGATATGTTGATACATTTAGGGCTATAAAACATCAAAGAAGAGGAATTGAAAGGTTGAACAAGTAACATCAAGGTTGGTAGCAAAAGGGAGCCAAAGAGAACAAGAGGAAACTTAAAGACACAAGGTAGTAAATTTACCCTTATTGTGTGATTGATATATATGCTTATGTGTTGATGTTGCTTGATAATGATTTAGATTATGAAAAATTGAACGTTGCTATTTCTTGTACATTCCATGGCAATGTGTGAATAAAATATTGAGTATTAGAGCATGTCATTTTATAAGCATACCAGCATGAAAGTATTAACCAAGCATGTCATCCACCAAGCATTAGTATTGCATACATATAACTAATGTTTACTATCGAGATTCTCCTAAATCTCACCCTTCCTTAACAAACCCTAATATGTGTTAATGAGCAAGCAAGAGGATGCATGAAGTGGAAGCAAGGAAAAGAGGAAAAAAAAATTAAGGAAATGTATTATATTACATTATTTAATTTGTATGCAAAGGTATGATATAAATGTGTCACTAATGTTATGTGATGGTATATAATGATGATGGCATGTAAGATTGAACATGGTGATGTATGAAAATGGTTAGTGCATTGATGGGATGGTAATATGCATCAAAAGAATTAATTATGACGTTGACGTAAGTAAAGGGGATAAATTATCCTTAAATAAGCCATAAAATAGTGACAGAGTAGAAGTAAGGCAAACGATAGAATCTACTTATGAAATTTGGTATGCTTAAAATACATATCCTAAGATTTAAAATAAGTGGTAGATCACTTAAAATAGATATGTGTACTAAAAGTTATGATTGATCAATGTTAAGACAAAAAAACTAGAGAGTACAGTTTTTACCAAATGAATAGTAAACTTCTACGAATTAACTATATGAATTGGCAATGATTAAGTCAAGATTTATATTTTTCCCTTGTAGAGAATTGAAAGAGATTCAAATAGAATTTTGAACCACCTTGATACAATTTTTCTATAATTAGTTATGATTTTTCAATGTTGGACCGAAAATATGAAATTTCTTAGTGAATAGTAACCTGAGTAATTAGATACAAACTTTCTATCTAAGGGCTACTTTCATGTTCTGTTTTCATAATGCTTCTAAACACACACTAAAAGTGGTTTCAGAAAATATGTTTCATTATATAATACCATATGAAGTTAAATTGTGATGAAAAAGGATGTCAAAATATGTTCCAGGGTTACTGGGTAAGTCAGGACCCAAAAAAGTATTCGATATGACATAAAATTGTAAAATAGGTCGATGAATAGTCAAGAGTAAGAGGGAGCACGAATTTCTCCATATTTTTTCTCTATTTTAATGCAAAAATGATGAGGAGGACACTGATGGAATAATACAAATTGTTACCGGGCATGTTTGGAAGAAATGAAATTATTTAATAAAACATTATGTTTTACCACATGTGTGATTAGGTGGCATAACACATGGCAAGTGTTTAACCAAAGTGGCTTAGGATTTGTACATTCTGCAAGAAGCTTGAATGGATGGCAAGAGATCAAGCCACAAGATCTTTGTAATTTCAAGCAACTTCAAGGGTAAAATAGGAAATCCAAGCCAAACTTTTGTCTATAAATACCCTTTTCTCCCTCCTATTTGTGTGTTTGGATGGCCAAGAGAGAAAAAGCAAGGGGAGCACGAAATTATCAAGCAGAAAAGGGAGAAGAAAAAGAGAATAAAGTTCTAGGCAAATCTAAGCTTTAAGGCAAGGTAAGGTTATGGTTTTTGATGTAGTTTAAGTTGCTCTATGTTTTGCAAAGCTTGGTTATGCTTTTTATTGAGTTTTGGAAGCATTAGACCCTAAGGAAAGGTGCTGTCTAAATATGTTTAAGTTATTAAAAAGATTGATTGATGTTAGATTGATGATTAAAAGGATGAAAAGATAAGTAATCAAGTGGTTTTGTGATAAAATTCGAAAGAATCCAACTTCTAATTTTATGAGAATTTTGGCCAAAATTAGTGATGATGTTAAGGTTGAAATTTGATGATTTGGATACTTCCAACGTGTTTAGAATGAAAAATTGTGTGGAGTAAATGTAAGAAAGTAAGTTGGGAAGCATTGAAATTGAAAATGAAATTTTAAACAACCCTAAGCCCTATATGATTTTGATAATTTTGAGCTTGGAAATGGATTCTACATGCAAAATTATGAGGGAATAGCATGTGAAATTAATTTTAGAAAGAATGAAAATCAAGCTTAAAGGTTAGAAGTCAATGTGGTTTAAAGAGAGTAAAGTATTGACATTGATGGTAATCATGGCTCTAATAAGTGAACGGCATTATAGGCTAATGTATTTAGGGCCATGAGACATTAAGGAAGAGAAATACAAAGGTTAAGCAAGCAACTTAAATGGTTAGAGGTAAAGGGACGAAGAGGGAACAAAGAGAAAGCTTAAAGACACGAGGTAGTGAACTTGCCCTTATTGTGTACTTGATATGTATGCTTGAGTGTTGATGTTGCTTGATGATGATTTAAAATATAAAAAATTAAAGGTTTCTTTGTTTCATTTCATGGCCATGTGTGAATGAAACATTGAGCATTAAAGCATGTTATTTTATAAGCATGAAAGCATGAAAGTATGAGACTGAGCATGCCATTCACTTAGCATTTGTCTTGCATACATATAGGTAATGTTGCTACTAAGATTTTCTCAAATCGCACCCTCCCTTACAGGTATTAATAAGTAAGTAAAAGAATGTATGAAGTGGAACCAAAGAAAAGAATTGAGAAAATGTAGTATATTACATTATATAATTTCCATGACAATTTATATGTGGATAGTGCTAATGATACTATGTAAAGTTAAATGATGATGATAGCATAGATGATGGAACATGTTAATTCATGAGAATGAATTATGTGATGTGGGAATGATTGCATGCAAAGAAATAAATGAATATAAATTATTAATGCAAGTAACGGGAAAAAATTATCTCTAAATGAGCCACGAATTTGTAAAAGAATAGAAGTAAGGCAAAAGATTGAATCTGCCCATGAAATTTTATATTCTTAAAGTACACATCCTGAGCTTTAAAACAAGTGGCAAATTGCTTAAAATGGATGTGTGTGCTAAGAGGTATGTCAAATTTAGGGTGGAGAAAATGAAAAGTACAGTCTTTACCAAATAAACAGTAAATTTCCGCAAATTCATAGCATGGATTGACAAGGGTTAAGGTCAGATTTATATTTCTTTTCCTATAGAGAATTAAACGAACTTTAAATAGAGACTTGAATTGCCTCAATAAGATTTTTCTATAATTAGTTATGATTTTTTAAAATTAGACCAAAAATCTGAATTTACTAGTGAACAGTAACCCCGAGAATCAAATTTTAATTTTTCAATTTACAGGCTTGTTTTGAATCTACTTGAACTATAACACTTCCAGATACATACTAAGAAGGGTAATTAGAAGATTTTTTACTTGCTAGAACCATTAGAGTTCTAAAATTTCCAAAAGGTTGCTCTTGGTTTGCCCTAGCAAAGAAAACCCTATCTTAAAACTTTTAAACCCTACTAATGATGGCCCATACGACCCTTACCCATATTTAAAGATAATTTCAACATTTCACTGTAATGTCCTCACTTTAATTAGACACCATTTTTTAAGCATTTTTTATAGTGATATTACCCTTTATCGTGGTGATCCGTCCTAAAAAGTAGATTTTATAGTTTCTCCCTATCTAGAAAGAATTTTGTCCCCTAAATTTGGTTAATGGGAGGAGTTTATACCTTAAGTGAAGAGTTTAGAGAACTCACATCACATACATCCTTAGTCTCCCAAGTGGAATTTCTCTGGGACATGACCTTCTAAAAGATTTTGAGTAAACACACTTTCTTATTCCTTAACTGCTCGTCTTTCACATCCAAAATCCTTTCAGGTTTTACCTTAAAAGTTAAATTCTCTCGCAGTCCCTTTTCTTCAAAGTGATGTGAAATGGATCGGGCTGATACTTCTTTAGTTGCGATACATGAAAGACATCATAGAGGTTAGATAAGTGAGGTAGTAGTGCAATCTGATAGGCCACTAATCTAATCCGATTCTATACCTTGTAAGACTAGTGAAATTGCTAGTGACAACTTCACCCAAGAGGGGAGTGAATTGGGTAAGGTATAAAAATTTGATATAATAAAACAGTTAAGCAAGTAAAGTAGAGGAGATTAAGTTAGTAAGGCTTCATTGAAGAATGAAGACACAGAGTTTATACTGGTTCAGTCTTAACCACTTGACCTACATCCAGTTCTCAGAACACCTTTGAGATTTCTACTATGTTCTCAAGATTAAATGGTCTCTTATTGCCTTAGTACAATAATTGATTCTCTTAATCACTCCCCCTTACTACCCGTAAGGCTATAATCCCCTTAAGAGTTCACATTCTTGAGTTATTCTCAGAAGATGAGTAATGTAAAGTGTATCAATCTCTCTTACAAAGTATATGAATGTTAGACACTGAAGTTCGGCAAAACAGAGTATTGCATGCAATAGTAAATTTTTAACAAACAGTAGCTCATGTATTCAATGCCTTCATTTAATGCTCTTCATGTTTTCTATAGTTAGAGAAATTTAATTATCTGTTAGACTGAAGAGCTTCTAGCCATTGGAAGATCGCTAGCGTGTGCTTAGCAGTTACAACACTAGTTCACCATTAATGCTTCTAACACAGTAGGTTAAGGGCTACAAAATAACCTTTGAGCTTCATAATCTGTATAAATCTTTTGACACAAGTTAGTCTTCTCCTTCAAGGAGATTAATAAAAGTAACAGAATAAGTGATGATCTTTCATATTGATATAATAACTTGAAAAGCACAGAATCAATAACCAAATACTTAAAAGATAAACTGAACTTGCTTGATCGAAGTCATGATCGATAAAACATTGATTGATCAAGTTATCAATTAAATATCAAAAGAAAGACTATAGCAGATATATACTTTTATCAAATGGATTATAGATCATAAGATGATCAAACACATGATTGATAAATGATGAAACATGAATACGATAAGCTCTAAATGGATTATGCAAGAATAATATTTTTCAAGTTATGTTTGCCTTCATATCCTTTCAATAAAGAGTTATGTGTTAAAGGAAGTCTGAGAAAAGCTTGAAGGTAAAGAGATAAAAGATTTTGAAGATCATTGTTAATAGCTATTGTGAAGTGAACTGGTGCAATGATCAAACAATTGATTGAAAAAGATTTGATCGATCATATTATTGATAAAGCTAAGTATGAGAGAAACATATTTGTAAAAGTGTGATGATCGAATACCTTATCGATAAATGGTTGATAGAAAAAATGATCGAAGAAAGGTTTTAAAGAAAGTTTTCATAGTGAAGTCACATAATAGATAGTGATCGATTAAATGATTGATTAATGAGTAATCGATTAAGTTATCGATAAACGGTTGCTAAAAGTTGTTTTCAGAAAAGATCAAGGAAAGACTTTGATCGATCATGTGATGTGAAAAGAAAATGCAGAGGTCTTGATGATCGATCATTCTATCGATAAATGAATGATTAAACAAGTGATATGAAAATAGCTAACAACAATGCTTGATGAGATATGTGCAGTGAGAGTGTTGATGATCGATCATTTGATCGATAAATGGTTGATCAATCAATTGATCGATTAATGACATTGAATGAATACTTTCACACAACACATTATTGATTAAGAAGAAGTAAATTATCTTGCAATGATTGAACAAGTAACCGATAAAAGACTGATTGATAAATGGCGAATTGTTCAAAACATAAAGTAAGTGGGAAAACTTTACCATTTATTTGTGTTCACATCGATAACAGCTTAATCGATCAGGTGATCGATAAATGCTATTATATACTTTACCAAGGTTTTGTGGCTTTTTCTGACAGTTGATCGAACACTAAATTATCGATCAATTGATCGATAATTTGCTGCAACCCTTTACATTAAATAGTGTTAAAAATGATCGATTAATTGATCAATCAACTCATAAATTTTGATTTATCTAACACATTATCGATCAAGTTCAAGGCTAAGTAACTAAAAAACAGAAGTAGTTTATTTGACATATGGTCGATTAACCTTTGATCGATCAGGTGATTGATCAACTTACTAAGACCAGAAAACACTTAAATTGTTATCATCAAAACGTTAAATCTAACAGAAATAAGGAGTTAGTTTCTTACCTTTGATGACCTTCTAATACCTATGGTAGGTGGCACCTTTAGGGATATATGGCTCCTACTTTGAATTCCAACGGTTACCTGTGTCGATAAACATAACTCTTCTATCAACTCTAAGTTGTTAGGAGCTTTTACATGATGAGTTTGATATTCTGAGTGGTTTTCTCTGCTAAGTCTAGACCAATGATGGTTCACACACTCAACTCTGTCCAACATAGCAGAGATCAGTACTTTTATCTGTATAGAGCTTCAAATGGTGCCATCTAGATAATAGAGTGATAGCTATTATTATAGGAAAACTTTGCTAATGCTAGTAGTTGTCCTAACTTTCTTTCCACTTAAGCACACAAGCCCTTAACCTGTCCTCTAGGATCTAAATAGTATGTTTTATCTATCCATGAGTCTGGGGATAGCATGTTGTATTGAACTTCAACTAAGTACCCAAGGCCTCATGCAATGACCTCCAAAAGTTTGACGTGTACTGTGAATCTCAATCTAACACTACATCTTTTGGTACCTTACATTGTTTGACTATCTTAGCAATATACATCTAGGCCAGTTTTTTCAAATTGTAATCCTCTTTAATTGGCGAGAAGTGGGCTGATTTTGTCAGTCAATCCATAATAACCCAGATTGTATTAAAGTTTGCCTACATCCTGGGTAAACATATAATAAAGTCTATAGACGCACTCTCCATTATCTTAAGGTTCTAGAGTAACTAGGAAGGCTTTTGGTGTTTAATCTTTACTTTTTGGAATTTTAGGCACTTTCCTATCAATTTCATTACCTCTCTCTTCATACTCGACCACTAGAAGGATTGTTTGAAATCATGGTATATCTTGGTTGCTTCCAAATGAATAATATGCTTACTCTAATGTGCTTCCTCAAGGATACACTTCTTGGACTTCTCATCATTAAGAATGCAAATCCTATTTTGGTACCTTAAAAAGTCATCTCTATCGACACTGAATTCAATGACTTTCCCTTCTTCTACTCTATTTCTCACTCCTATTGGATACTCATCCCCTAGTTAGACAATAGGATCTCACCCTAAAACTAGCTCTTAATAAAGACCTCAAGGTGGTTATTTCTTCACTTAATGCCCTTAGGTTTCTTAACGTATCCAACCAGTGATGTTCATATAAGCACAGATGAAACACATGGATTGCCTTTCTGCTTAGGGCATTTGCCACTATGTTTGCCTTTTTAAGGTGATGTTTCAATTCAAATTCATAGTCCTCGAGGAGCTCTATCCATCTTTGTTGTCTATTGTTCAATTCCTTTTGGTCTACTAGGCTTTTGTGATCACTGAACACTTTGGATTGAGAGCCACACAAGTAGTGCCTCTAAATTTTTAGTATAAACATGATTGTGGCTAATTCTAGGTCTTGGGCAGGGTAGTTCTCCTTATGAGGCCTCAACTGTTGCGAGGCATAGGCCACAACCCTTCCTTCTTGCATGGGCATATAACCTAAACCTTTTGACGATACATTAGTATACAAGGTGTATGGTATCTTAGGGTTAGGGATGGTAAGCACAGGCACTATGATCAACCTAGTCTTCAGTTCTTAGAACACTACTTCACACTTATCAGTCCATAAAAACAATTAGCCCTTCTTTATTAACTTTGTTAATTGATTTAGGAAAAACCTTGGATAAACCTATGGGCGTATCTTGCTAACCCAATAGAACTCGACATTTTTATTATTGACTTCGGTGCTTCCCATTTCAATACCACATCCACTTTACTAGGGTCAACTACCACTCCTTCTACCGACACCATATGGCTTAAGAAGTTTACCTTGCTAAGCCAAAACTCGTACTTTCTTAGCTTGATGTACAACTTATGGTCTCTAAGTATTGACAGAGCAATTCAAAGGTGATTTTTATGTTCGTCCTTATTTTTAGAATAAATCAGGATGTCGTCAATGAACACCATAATAAACCAAATAGTCTATGAAGACTATTGGGGTGTTGGTTAACCTAAATGGTATCATCAGAAACTCGTAGTATTTATAACTTGTGCAAATGGCAATCTTTGTTACATATTCTACTTTAACCTAGAGTTGATGATACCCAAATCTCAAATCAATCTTGGAAAACACTAAAGAACCCACTAACTAATCCAAGAGATCATCTATTCATGGAAGAGGGTACTTGTGCTTTACAGTTACCTTATTAAGCTGTCAGTAGTCGATACACAGTCTCATAATGCCAACCTTCCTCTTAATAAACAACACTAGGGAACCTTAAAGGGATATACTTAGTTTAATAAATCCCTTCTCTAGTAGTTCTTTAATCTATTTCTTTAGTTCTATTAGTTCTGGAGCCATCCTACTTTTAAGATCAGTACTATACTTGGCTCAAAGTTGACGAAGAACTCAACCTCCTGCTCAAGGGGCAACCTAGATATCTCAGTTAGAAACACTTTTGAAAACTCCTTTACTACTTCTAAGTCTTTAGCCCCTAATTCTTTCTCGACTTCAGCTACAAAAATAATTATGTATGTTTAACCTCCCTGCCAAATGTACTGATCCACCTGCGTAGCTAACAATAATGCGAATTTGCCTCAAGGCTAAGGTGAAGAAAGAACTAACTAAAAAAGTTAATGTCTTCTTATTACAATCTAATATTACACCATGTAAGGATAACTAGTCCATTCCAATGATCACATCGATCCCTCTTAGGGGCAGACAAACAAGGTCAACCATGGTTTCTTTACCCTAGAACATAAGAGGTAGGTTTGTCCAAACTCAAGTTACTCTTACCGATGCTCCTACTAGAGTAAAAACTCACAGGTTGTGTGGCAGCAAATTCACACACAGACCCAAGTTGTTCATACAATTATAAGACATATAAGAATAGTGGTACTCGAGTTAAACAAAGCATTAATACTTTTACCTTAAAGAGAGACCATACTTCTAATGAGGTTTGGACATGCTTTAGCTTCATCCTGGGTTGGTGTAAAGACCTATCCATAATTCTGGGCGAAGGGAAAGGTAGAACTATAAGGGCCTGATAAGAGACCAAGTACCTGATCATAGTGTTTGCAAGCACTATGAGCTTCAGCAATAGTTATCCTCTATATATAATCCCAGCA